TGCAAATTTTTGTCTTTTCCGAGCAGAACTCTAAAACCGCTCAATATTTCTTCACCAAACTTGGCACATACATGGATCTGGTGGTGTACTGGTGCCTTTTGGTAGTTTTGGAATTTGAATTAAATGTTTTGGCGTTTCCATGGCAACAAGTTCGACTTTGACTGAAATTAGTGGTAGTGCTCTTTTCCGAGCAGAACTCTGAAACCGCTCAATATTTCTTCACCAAACTTGGTACATGGATAGATCTGGTGGTGTACTGGTGCCTTTGGTAGTTTTGGAATTCTGAATAAAATATTTTTGGCGCTTCCATGGCAACAAGTTCGACTTAGACTGAAATTGGTGGTAGTGCTCTTTTCCGGAGCAGAACTCTAAAACCGTTCAATATTTCTTCACCAAACTTGGCACATAGATAGATCTGGTGGTGTACTGGTGCCTTTTGGTAGTTTTGGGAATTCTGAATAAAATATTTTGGCGCTTTCCATGGCAACAAGTTTGACTTAGCCTGAAATTGTGGTAGTGCTCTTTTCCTCGAGCAGAACTCTAAAACCGCTCAATGTTTCTTCACCAAACTTGGCACATAGATTGGTCTGGTGGTGTACTGGTGCCTTTGGTAGTTTTGGAATTCTGAATAAAATATTTTGGCATTTCCATGGCAACAAGTTTGACTGAAATTGGTGATAGTGCTGCTTTCTGAGCAGAACTTTAAAAACCTTTCAATACTCTCCTTCCACTTTTCTATATACACACCTAAATATTTCTATATACACACCTAAATATTTGACATAATCATAACTCGTAGAGACATAATCATGAAGAGTATTTTGCCATTAAGTGGGGATATTGATGACTTTGTCTTCTTGTTTGGCGGAGACAAGATTATCGCCAAGACAGACATCCAGATAGTTGTTCCTGAGGGTCTTGTATGGCAGAGTTGGTATAGTAGTGTTAGGAATCAGACACCAAATCCACTATAGATTATCAGAGGACTCGTGGTGAATAGTTATCGATTATAATGGAAATATATACATTTTTTTATTTAATCACTAATTTTAAGGGTTTTTCAGCAGGTTTTTTCTCGTTAATGCTTTTTATAACTAAGGCCAAATAAAAAAGCGTTGTGGTCTGACATACATCTTAAAATTTAGGGTAAGTAGGTAGGAATTCTTCTTTATATATATTTTTAAAAATATTTTTTTAAGTAAATTATGAACTAATAAGACATTTATCTATGTATAATTGTTTATTCAATCACCGCTTGGCAAGGTCATCATGTCAACTTTCTTTATCAGAATAACTGATGTCTATTGGTACCGACCAAAACCATGGTTCCTGAAAGCTTATTTTATCATACCTCTTAAAATAACTAGGGTCAGCACCAGGAATTCAAGGGTTGGTCGGATAATCGAGACCACAACATTTTTTGTTTCAGGGCCTACTACTGCCTCTACCCTTCCCCCGACTTCCCATGCTTGGGTTTGCCCTCTCAACAACAGGCGGGATTAGCTTATATATTTTCATATCTAAATTTTTAAGTGCAGTAATTTTGCTTTTTTCATACAAAATTATTCTGTTGGATTTACACGGCAAATGGTGTCCATTATATTTTCCCATTACGCTCATTGTAGATTTTAAATTTATTCACAGACGATTTACAGTAATATTTACCCGTAATCATGGTAATGATAAATACCAAACTATCAGTACAATGCTATAGCTTTGTACTTGTTGAACGCGTGTTTGTTTCAGGAATGTTCTTAAAATTTAATGGTTTGTTTTCTTCATTCAAGTGTGTTATAATTAAAACAACAAAAATTTCATTATTCAAAAATTAGTATTTTACAATCGATAATTATTTTTAATCCTTTCGTAGATCAATGTTTTTATTATTTTCTCGATCATCGAACACCACTATATGTAGGCATTCACACATCACCTCACTTATTATTTTATTATGGTGCCAATATTGTGAGGCCATCATTATCTTTTGTGTGTGTTTCTCCAACCCCTAGTCAGGCTAAAAGAAAAACTATTAAGGAAGCCTCCATTTCTGTGTCCCCACACAGTAACTGAATATTGCCACAAGCCGCGAAACTGCTCTCACACTCACTAACCCAGCTAGACTGAAGTCGGTAGTAGGATCCCAATACATCGATCGATACGGCCGATGCATCTGTACTTTTTCTAAGACAATACAATTATCAATGCATTCAAAACTGTATCGATATTTAGTTTTGAAAGTATCAGTTTGAATATGTTTATGTGTCGTTTACATTTTGCAATTGTATCATCACGTTTGGATGTTATGCAGAGCTCCAGATAAGATTTAGCTCATGTGGGTACTGTACCCACTGCATTTTTTTGGAGTGGGTATTATGAGGACAGTTGAGTGGTATTTCATTTTCCGTTACTCATTATTTTCAAATATGCGCTGCGATTTCAAAATCATTTTATTCACCTATATGGTGTCATTATAAAGTTTACTAAGCAGGTATGTTCTGTCTTATGTTCATCACTCTAATCAACACCGCAATGAAGGGAAATGATTTCATAAAATCATTCATCCTGATACTGACAGTTAACACTAGTCCTAATAGTACACCTTGATAGCACGACGTCTTTTCATCGTTGCGCTCTATTTTTATAAATATATTCTGCACGCATTTGTTTTTAAAACCTTTTGCATATCTAACATTTTTAATGCTAGCGAATTGGTACTCAACAATTATTTTCAATCGCGTAACTGGAAATTTTCTATATGCGATTTTACCCGATCATAGCAGCTTATCTGGGCCTCTGGTCATGAGAGTTATGAATGATTATTTTTCCTGCACAAAGATGGGAAGTTAGAACTTTTTAATCTCTGAGAGAAAAAAATGTTGATCTTTTCATGGACAATTACAAAATATGTAATATTAATGTTCAAAATGTAACTAAGTTTACTCAATAATGCCGTGAAAATAGGAAGAGGCCCAGATAAGCTGCTTATCAGGGTAAAATACGCATAGAAAATTTCCAATGACACATTGAAAAAATAATTGTTGCGTACCAATTACTGGCTTAAAATGTTAGATAGGGAAAAAGTTTAAAACAAATATGTATGGAATATATTTATAAAAATCACTTGCGTAATGAAAAAGACATCGATTGCTATCAAGTTGTACTGTTAGTATAGGACAAGTGTTGTACTGTCAGTATAGGATGAATGATTTTTTATGAAATCATTTCCATTATATTTAAGTTGGTGTTGATTAGGTATGACATAAGGCAGAACATACCTGCTTAGTAAACTTACTCAATGACACCATACTTAGTTGAGTAAAATGACTGAAATACGCACATATTTGAAAGCAGTGGGTAACGGAAAATGAAATACCCACTCCAAAAAAATACAGTGGGTACAGTACCCACATGAGCTAAATCTTATCTGGACCTCTGATAGGTATCATGATACGTATCGAATCGTGAT